ACAAATTATTAACAACATATTACTAGAATTTAAAAACCTACTCTTTTCTCTGTCTCTTTAGAAACACCTATATACAAAAAACTATTTCTATGATAGATAAATATAAAATTTAACAACACTTGTGTCACAAGGAATGAAAAGTCTAAATAATAAGTAAATGTATGGTACAAAAAAGATGATAATAAAAACGAAGGAAAGCTGTTACCAATCCTGAAAAACAGGCTTTTCAGCCCTAAAGTCTGATTTTTTAACTTAAAAACAAAAATAACTCACGTTTCACTTGCTCGAACATTACTGAAAAGAGGAAGTCTCGTGGTGTCATATAATACTCTCCTTCATGTTCCAGTGAAGAAAACTGCATGAAACGCTGTTTACGAAGAGACAATTTTTCTATTATTCCAGGGTCAGCATTTTTCTAAAAGAAAAAGAAATCAAAATTTAAGAGTTTTTCAGTATTATTTCTAAACTCAGCCACTTCTAGAATAATTTTTTTTTTTTTTTTACTGGAAATCCCATTACCTTCTAATAAAGTAATCTTTAAAGAGTAATTTTCATGTTTAGATCTGACAACTCCAAACTTTTAAATCATTCATTTAACAAATATTAACTGAGTACCTACTTTGCACTGTTTTAGGCACTGAAGATACAGCAGTGGATAAGACTAACCTGAGGAGGTTATCATTCCAGAAAGGGAGAATGACAATTAATTAACGAGTAAATGTATAAAATAATGCAAGATGGTGAGAAGTACCACAAAGAAATATAACGCAGAATAAGACAGTGATAAGGGGTATATTTTAGATAGGGCAGTCAGGGAAGGTCTTTTGAAGAGGGAACATTTACAGAGACTAAATGAGATAGAGTTAATGAGTCATAGGGCTCTCTGGAGGAAGAGGGTTCTAAGCAAGAACAAAGTCCATGCAGTGGGAATAAGCTTGGTGTGTTCAGGGAACAGCAGGAAGGCCAGTGTTACCAGAGTGACCGGGGAAAGAGGAGAGTGGCAGAGGATAAGATCAGAGAGATAGGCAGGCAACAGATCACACAAAGTTGTGCTTTCATAAAGATAAAATACAGCACTATCAGACAAAGCTCTCCTTTCAGAAATATAAGTGAGAGAACCATGGGTAGGTAGAAAGAGCTAAAAGAACAAGAATGGGTAAAATTTTGTTAGTGGAAGAGTCAGTATCTCAGGCAGTAGGACCTAGACCTTGACTAACTGCTGGTAAGACAATACTGAAATTTTTATTGCTAACCTTTCATTGAGCACTCTGTGTGCGCTCTAGTTAAGCACCTTACGTAGATTATTTAGTTAGTGCTCACAATAACTCCGAGCAATAGATACTATAGTAGATACGGAAACCGAAAAGTAAATGACAGAACCAGGTCTGTCTGACCCAAAGGGTTTTAATCTCTCAACTACCACACTATCTCCTACACATGACTGGGTGCTGTGCACCAGGCAGACTGGAGGAAAATGACCCAGCAGTTACACAGACACCTACGTGAGTGCAGGAATCCTGACACAAGAATGTATTTTCTGTGGAATCCAATAGCAGCAGGCTTTCATCTAGGATTGCTTTCCTAGGGCACTGCTCTAACTTGGACCCACGGTATCCTTCCTGGACACACCACCTACTTCTCATACTTAGCACTGATCCTACGACTTACCCTGACACACAGGCAATGTTCAGTGACTGCTGACTTGAATTGAAATGGGCAAAACATGAACGTTAGCTGCTTAAATCTCTCCAAATCCAAAGCCAGAAACAGCTCCTTTTTGGCTGATATCAGTTCTCTAATATTAATTCTCTTCCCTCAAGTAGACAATAGGTTTCCTTGAGCAGTTAGTTTTATACCTCTTTTGTGTTCTGTACAGTGCCTACCAGAGTACCGGACATATACGGAGTACTCCGTAATACTGGAATGATCGGAACCCCTATCTTCTCTACAGCTTTCCTTTTTTCCTCCTTAAATTACTACTATAAAAATAACACAAGGGGCATGTTTCAATTACATAAGTCTATACTCATCCTAGTAATCAGAAAACTAAATTATCATTATTATTAATACTTTCTGAACATTTTATACATGGGGCAATATATACACACATATATAAAAATATCAATAGCCATACATAGCAACATATAGATCATTTTATTTAAGAAACTGTTTTGAGCATCTGTAGGAAAACAGCGTTAAATAAGATAAACATTAATTTCTATCAGAAAGTACTAAGTGCTTTGGCAGTGAATTTACAGAAAGTATATGGCTGAGATCTGGAAGAGAAGGTGGGTAAGAGTATTCTCAGTGAAGGCTACAGCATTTACAAGGTCCTAGATATGAGAGAATACAGCATAGCAGAAGAACTGAAAGAAGCTGAACATGGGCATATACATCATTAATTTTTATATTTATTGTACTAATGTTAATATATATAGTCTATAAAGAGATTGACAAAATTAAATATATAGAAAAAAAGTATATTCTCAAATCCTTAAATGAATGTTGGCTCTTTCATACTTCCTAATATCTAAGTTGTTCATGACTGGTTAAAAAAAGTTTTTAACTGACAATTTAATCTTTTTTGTATAAATAAATTAATTCTTCTTTCCAAAACTCAACTAAAAGAGGTCAACTACTCACTCATCCCCCTCCTCTACGGGTGTCATAACAAGATGGGCCATCAACTCTATGTTTCTTCTGGTTTTCATGTTGTCATCTACCTTGGAGCGATCTTATTCTTCTCTGGTCCTAACTAATATTCAACCTCACCAAGAAGTAAAAACATAAACCTCCCACTCTCTCACAGCAAGATACGAAAACTATTTGAAAAAGAAATCCTATTTTTTTTCTTCTAGGAAGTTTACACCATCCATATTCTTCTATCCTATGGTCACCATTTTTTATATGCCTGCATGTGTCTATAATTCACATAGGATAACATTTCTGAAGAGTCTTGAGGAAAGTCAATTATTCAGGGAAGTACCATTTTATTGAGTTGGATGATTGATTGAGTTGTTTGTCATTCCTTTCAATTTTGGTTAAATATCCTTTATAGTGAACAAGAAAAGGTAAAGGAGGTAAAACTAAATCTCCCTTTCTTTCATAGGTTGATTTCTGAGCTTAAAGCCATCGCCGAATTGCAGATTGTGAATTTAGAAGGTCACTTTTACACAAATGACCTCCAAATTTGTCCCACCACCATGACTCCACCGGTATATAGTGTGGTATAAAACCTTCCAACAATCCTTCTATCAACGTCCTCCAAACTCAATTTGGTATAGTAGCCTTTCCTTCTTGCTACTCCATGGTATAAATACACCTATTCTACTACCCCAAAACATTTCAACTCCCACTGCCAGCACTAATAGAGTCTCTCCTTTTCCTAATCCTCTCCACTACCTCTCACACTCTGCCTATTGAGGATACAACTATCACTTGGAGGTCATCACCACCATTAGTAGATTCTAATCCTACCATTTCCCTTATGAAATATACAGTGGAACCCTCGCATCACCATCTCTTACTACTAGTGTCTTTCCCTTCATCCTGACCCCCACCTCCTCTGAAGTAAACACTTAATTGAACATTTACTAATTTGAGGACACTTTAGCAAGACAGGAAGAAACAACACGTAAGAATGAAGCGGGCAACTGTATAGTAGTAAATACTAACAATATCTAATGTTTATTAAGTATGTAGTATATGCAAGGCAGAGTGCTAACGTCTTTACATACATGTTCCCATTTAATCCTCACAATATCCCTAATAGTACACAACATTTTTATCATCCTCATTTTACAAAAGAAAAAAGTAAGGCCTGTCAAGGTTAAACAGCTTGTCTAGATTAACAGAGCAGGTAAGTGATAGCACAGGCAGTACGACATCAACCCGACAGCCTCAGCCACTATCCTGATACTCACTCCTGTTAGAATTACATAAATTAGGAAAACAGAGCAGAGCAGGCTTCGAGCTAGGCTCTAGGGAATAAACAACAAAGAACACAACTAGAATTCGCCATCCTTTAGGCCCCAGGCTAAGTGTTGTCCATTCCTACATCAATCAAAGGTAAAGCAAGTAGGATGTACTGATTATGTTTCTTTGCTACGGCAAAATCCATGTAGAGGAGAAGATGTATTGTTCTGAAATTACCAGAGTCTTTCTTATACCAAGTTGATGAACCAACATAATTTTATTTGTCATCTTTATCATACAGTAGTAGGATTTTAAAAATATATTTTAAAGGATCACTAATATAATCAATATGCATTATATATTTATGCTTATTTTATAGGATTTAGAAAATTTGCCAAGGCCATTTTTAATCTTTTATTTATCTGTCAGGTTTATCTTGCTTTACTTCATTTTTATAACTATTTTGATCAAATCTTAGACTTATTGGATGGATTTAATGGTCAAGAATGCAATAATCAACCCTAATATTGTTTCTAAGAGGAAACATGTGCTTTATTATATATCATTTCCAGGAATACACTGTAATAAAAACCAAGTTGTCTGTTTTTGTCTAATTTTTCAACTAAACTGTAAACCCTTGAAGCATAAGTTTTATCTTTGTTTCATGATACTGTGCAAAGCATTTAGCCTGATGCCTTACACATAGTGGGAACAACTGATATTCATGGCATAGAATTTTAAGAGTTAAAAGGGTCCGAGAGATCATCTAGTCCAACACCTCCGTGCAAGAGACCAAAAGTCAGATCTTTTGAGTCCCATACCAAGTGTGGTTAACTAGTTTGCTTGTTAACTATCTCTAATAAATGTTGGGAACAAGTAGCTAATTTCCAAATGCTGCTAATTTACAGCCTAGGATAATGCATGCCAAATTATCCTTTATTGTCTTCAACAATTAAAGGTATAGTTTACAACAAGCCTTTGGTGGAAAATGTAAATTATCTCCTATCCTGTTCTTTTTTTCTTTCTTCATTTCTTCCTTCACTCCTTCCTTGCATCTGTATGGTCTTCCTGATCACATGAGTCCATGACCTTTCCCCAATTTTCTTTGTTTCTTTCCCTCCTCCCCTCATAGGTTTCAGGTGCCTTTTTTTGTTGTTGTTGCTGCTATTTTCAAATTTCCTGAACTAACCATATTGTTTCAGGTACTCAATTACTTTTCTCTAATCTCTGCCTTCTCTTTCTCACTGTGGCATATTTGTAGTAGGCTGGGCTTGGTAAAGGGAGCTGTGGCAAAGAAAATGGCTTGTAGACTTAAATAAGTACAGTTAGAAGTTCAGTTTGGATGGAGAAGATGATGAGGTATAATAAACATCAAAATATCAAAGTTATATCTGAGAATAACAATGCAAATAGAAATGCCCAGCTTAGTATTATTTACATTTTAGGCAGTGAAAAAGTTGATTAATTCAAACATTTAAGAACCTGTTATGTGTCACTGTT